GCGGGAGGCCAGCCCCCCGCCAAGCCCTGGGAGCCAGCCAGGTGGGGCAGGGGGAGGGGGAGGGCAGGGCTTGTCTCTTCTGCCCCCTTTGAAAATTCCAGCAGCAAACTGCAGGCCAGGGAGGAAGGGCCTCGCGGAGCTCACAAGGGGCTGCGCGGAGTGCCGGGGGCAGGTGCTGCTTTGCACCCCGGGGTGCTTCACCCTGGGCGGAGTTAGGCCTGTGAACCTCCCCAGGGTCACACACCTGCCCTGGGCAGGGCTCTTGCTCCTAGCAGTGGAGAGACGGCAGGGCACAGGAAGGCAGCTCTCAAGCCCCTGCCTTTCGCTCTCTCTTGTGTGCTGCAGGGCACCCAGATGATCTTCAATGCGGCCAAGGAGCTGGGGCAGCTGTCCAAACTGAAGGTAAAAGACACGAGGCGGCTGGGGGCAGTGCAGGGACACTGATCTCGGGACCAGGGTCCGGCCTGCAGGGGCTAAGCGTCGCTTCAGCTTCTCAGAGAAACCAGGCTCCTAAGGCCCCGGTGAAAGGACCTGGGATGGGATCTGGGAGACGTCAGCCACTTGTCACCCCTGCGGAGCGACGTGGCCCAGCCCTGGCCCTCACACGGCCACTTGCTCCTTTCAGGACCACATGGTGCGCGAGGAGGCCAAGAGCCTGACCCCCAAGCAGTGCGCCGTGGTGGAGCTGGCCCTGGACACCATCAAGGTAAATCTGCCGGCCGCCGGGCACCGCTGAATGCAGGCCGAGGGCGAGGGGCCGCGGCAGCCCAGCCAGCGAGGCGGCTGCACCAGCCAGCCAGGGACCTGCCGCCGGCGGCCCCCGCGCCCCGGCGAGCCGGCCCCCTGCCGCAGGCGTCCCCGTCTGCCCTCGGCAGCGCTGTGGCCCGAGCGAGGAGTGGAGACCTCCCTGCCGGGGTCTGCCTGGGACTGTGCTCCTCAGCTAGCCGTCGAGCCTGGCACCCCTCTCACCCCGTCTCCCCCACAGCAATATTTCCACGCCGGGGGGGTGGGGCTGAAGAAAACCTTCCTGGAGAAGAGCCCCGACCTGCAGTCGCTGCGCTACGCCCTGTCTCTGTACACGCAGGCCACGGACCTGCTCATCAAAACCTTTGTGCAGACTCAGTCGTCTCAGGGTAAGAGACACCACGGCCCCCTTCCCGCAGCTCCCGCCCGCGGCTCCCC